TCCTCAGTGTAACTCTTTTTGCGACCATTGCGAAACTCGCCTCCATCGAAGATTTTAGTCGAACTGCCACTGATTCCGGCCTGACCGGGGAGTTTGGAGCGGAAGAACCTCTTGACGCTGGAAATAACTCCATGGCTGTGACCGTGGCTTGAGCCGCCGTGACTGTGTGCACTGCCGCCATGCGTGTGTCCATGTTGATGCAGTGTAAAGGCCATTCTGCGGGGAGCAATCGAGGAAATAAAAGTAACGATCTAAGAGACATGACAAGATTTCAACTTAGCGGCATCAGCTGCCATGGGGTACATTACAAAATACCGTATTTTCCGCACTATAGGGCGTATCGGATTATTAGGCGCTCCCAACTATATATTAATCCAGCGCCGTGCAATATACACAAAATCGGTTCGGGGTCATTAACCAGAATTCATCAATATATAGGGCGCACTGTAGTTTTTTGAGGACATTACAGGCTTTTAAGTGCAACTTATAGTCTGGAAAATACGGTACACATATGAGCCGTACTACTTACAGCTGTGTCAAGCGGCGGCAGAATACCAGCGAAACACGTGTCTGGGCTTTTAGCTAGTACTTGTGCTGCCAGTATGGTCAATAACTGCGTAGATTATGCTACAGACGGCCTTATGACAGCTTTTGAATACTACGCGGTTATCCTGCAGTGGCTGATGAACTTCGGTCCAAATATTCATATATCTACACCTACAGACAGCTGGCCATACTGATCCACTCCGAGTTAGAAGCTAATTCCTGAGGAAACAAATGAGCCGAAATTTCAAAACTGATGTATCTTCCAGAAACCAGACAGGGCATCCCGGGAAACCCACTGACGAGACCAAAACCTCGCATGTGTCTCAATCAGTGGCACAGTAGCGGCGAAACAAGTGTCTGGGTTTTAACCAGTACCGGTGTTGCCAGTGTGGTCATGTTACTGACGGTCTGATGGAAGCTTGTGAATATAACAAGGCTGATGGACTTCGAGCGAGACGTTCATATCAACTTTCGGTCACATTTGTAGATGCTTAAATATACTGATAAACTCCGAGTTAGAAATTTAACTGTTCATTAGGGGCCATTAAATGCACACGAAATAGTACTGGTATTTATTGGGCAGACTTTCTCGATTATCCTTGTCATCCTGCAGTCATCCAGGGAGCTGTCAGAATCAGCAGTGCTCGAGGTCAGTTCCACAGCGCACTTGTCGCCAGGCTGATAGTAATGGCCGATTCATGGGGACCAGTAAAGGTGACGATCCGGACGCCTTGCAGCAGCTGTGTCAAGCAACGACAGAAAACAGGTGAATCACGTAGCTGGGCTGTTAGCTAGTACCTGTACCACCAGTATGCTTAATAATTGCATTGACTACTGCTGTGTGTTGTACATATTACTATCGCTGTGTGCCTGATGGCGGCTTGGGTTGATAACGTGGTTATCCCGCAGTGATCGACCTATTCATACCAAATTTCGGTGCACCCCTGTAGACCCTTCAGTATACTGATCTACTCCGAGCTAGACATTAATTTCTATCTATCTTGGCTTGATTAGGCTCTTATTTTTATTAGCATGTGATTCAAGATGATTTAGGATATAAATACTGTCGCCCTAGTCTGCGACTGTAGCTGACGAAGGTATAAAGTGAGAATCTTAAATCACAGGCGACTTAAAGTCCTGTTGCAACGATCGCATCCCATTCTTTTAAAAATACACCATATAATTATAAAGTGTCATTGGAGTTTCTTCGTATGGAACAGGGACATTCAGCCCAAGATGCAAGTTAAACTGACAGGACGGTAATTTGCGCAGTCCAGTTGTGAGCCTCCCTTATAGGCTGGACTGTGCAAATTAGCGCCCTGTCAGTCTAAGTTGCATTGCGCGTAAAATGATGGAGTAAATTATCCAGAGGCATTTAATGGGATTCCTGGAAAGAAAAAAATACTACGCGATGGCCAGCATGGTTTTCGTCCAGGACGCCCTTGTCCCACGAGTGCTCTTTACTAGCATGATGTGTGAACAAGAGCCACAGATAAGGGCTATCCAATTGATAGTGTACCAATTCGATAGTGTACCGCACAGGCTTCTTTTGTAGAAGTTTTAGGAGGCGGGCATTCAAGGAAAGATGTTTAAGTGGATCAGAAGTGTTGTCCCTCAGAGAACAGAGGGTTGCATTAGGAAACTTAACCTCGGAATGGACAAAAGAAGAAAGTGGTGTATCACAAGGTTCGGTTTTGGGCCCGCTACTCTTCGTAATCTACGTAAACGATTGCCTCAGAGATCTAGACTGCGCAGCCGTCACGTTTGCGGGTGATATAAAAAATGGGCTGAAGTTAGCTGCGCTGACGACACAAAGAAGTTACAACCGAACATCGATAAACTGATTATCTGGTCGCCAACATAGCTTCTTGAGTTTCATGTATCCAAGTGTCTGGTCCTACACATTAGTCCCAGTCAAAAGGTGCCGTAGAAACATAGTTATTTTATAAATGGCGTCGCATTCAAAGGGGTAAATACATACAAAAATCTAGGCATGTGGACGACCGTGAACTTGATGCCATCAGAGCACTGTAAAAAAAGCAGTCCAGAAGGCAACTGGTACGCTGTACTAGATC